CTTCTGTTCGTCCTATTTTTTCCAGACGTTAAGCATTGCTCGAGGTCTCTCTTTGAAGGGGAAAGATGAGTCCTCCAAATTAGCTGACCTCGAGGACTCCCTCACTGCTCGTGATAGAAGAATTGTCAATCTTGAGGCCAAGCGTGCTCAGCTGCTGAGGGAGCATGAGAAGATAAATAATGAGCTCATGAAAGCTCGAGAAGAGTTTGGTGTTATAAAGGATGAGGCTGAGGAAATGAAGCTCGAGCTAAAAAATAGTCATAGGGATTATGAAGGAAGGCTGGTTCAAGCTCGGGCGGATGCCGTCGAGTAGTTTAAGAAGTCTGACGTTTTTAATGAGCTCAATGGTGAATACGCAATGGGCTCGTACTTTCATGCCCTGAAAGAGGCTCGAACATTCATCCGCTCGTAGCTAGACGCAAGGCCCAAGGACTTGAAGACTATTCCATAGGTGGCTGAGGACCTCGCCCTCTCCAACTCGGAGGAGAATGTTGATGACGCGGAGGTCGACATCGAGGGTGACGATGCCGAGGAAGACCAACCCAACCAGAATATCGAGGACTAGACTTCTTGATCATATATATTGAACATAATGATATTTGTCTTTGTGTTTTGGGAAAATTCAAGTATTCTGCTCGATCTTATTTAATGTATTACTTATCATTTTTTCTAGGCACGAGGACTTGTATGGCTGATGTCTTGGGCATCTTGACGATCAGGACAAATTAAATAGCTTGACGTTTAAGACGAATTAAATAGCTCGACGTTTAAGACGAATTAAATATCTAGACGCCTAAGATGAATTGATATCTCGACGCCTTAGATGAATTAACATATCGACGCCCAAGATTAATTAAATATCTCGATGCCCAAGATTAATTGATATCTCGACGCCCAAGATTAATTGAGATCTCGACGCCCAAGACGAATTGACATCTCGACGCCCAAGACGAATTGACATCTCGATGCCCAAGACGAATTGAGATCTCGACGCCTAAGACGAATTAACATCTCGACGCCTATGATGAATTAACATCTCAACGACTACGAGGGTGACAATCCTGGTTGAAGATTAAGGAAGGCCTTATACATGCGTACAATCGGGTCTGTGCTGATTCTCGAGCTGTAGTGATGCAAAATCCCGAGCAACACGTGGGTGATTTTACGAGTTTTTGCGTTCTCTATGTTCGGGGTGTTGTGTGATGGAGAACTTGATGAATGTCGAGGCGCTTTGTACGTACCTGTACGGCGCAAGTCCTTAAGTCGGTCACTTCGCACTAAGGTTTTTTATGTAGCTTGCACAGGACAAGGCTTTCTGTTGCTTGCTCGGGGCAAGGCTTTTTGGTGCTTGCGCGGGGCAAAGTTTTGAGGTGCCTGCTCGGGGCAAGGCTTTGAGGTGCTTGCTCGGGGCAAGGCTTTGAGGTGCTTGCTCGGGGCAAGGCTTTTTGGTGCTTGCATGGGGCAAGGCTTTTTGGTGCAATGATCTTATCTTGAGAATTAGCTTTATTCATAGTATATTTTGAAAACTGACTTGGCACGTAGGCCTTATTTTTAAGATATGGTGAAGCAAGTTACTTGTGATATACCTTTAAGTTTTCAATGTTCCATGGTCTTGGGAGTGGTCTTCCTGAAGTATCCTTCAAACTGTAAGCACCACCTGGGAGCTGTCGTATGACTTCAAAGGGCCCTTCCCAAATTGGTCCGAGTTTTCCCAGAGCATGACCAGCGGCTTCTACTCTTCTCAACACCAAATCTCCAGCTCTGAATCTTCGCGACCTCACCTTTTTATTGAAATACTTTGCTATTCTGTCTTGATAAGAGGCCATTCTTAAGGCTACTTGATCACGAACTTCTTCTAAGAGGTCGAGATGTTTAGTGGTGCACACTGCTTCTTCGGTATCAACTCTTCTTTGGCTTGGTAACTTGATTTCGATGAGAATGGTGGCTTCAATTCCAAAAGCTAACATGGAGGAGATCTCCCTGGTGGCGGTTCTGTGGGACGTCCTATATGTCCAAAGTATGGAAGGCAACTTGTCGGACCAAGATCCTCTTGCATCTCCAATCCTTGTTCGGAGGTCTTGCAATATAATCCGATTGGTGACCTCGGCTAGATCATTACTTTGGGGATGAGAGACTGATGTCGGTGATTAATCCCTAAGTTGGAACAAAAATCCTTGAATTGTGCATTGTCAAACTGCCAGCCGTTATCAGTTATGAGGACCTTTGGTATCCCGAACCTACATATGATGGACCTCCAAACGAAAGCTCTTATCTTAGGCTCTGAGATCATTGCCAAGGGCTCGGCCTCTACCCATTTCGTAAAGTACACCACTGCTACAACTACGAACTTCAATTGTCCCCTAGTTATCGAAAATGGACCGAGGATATCAATCCCCCATTGCTCAAACGTGGCCGAGCAACTGATGTTTGTGATGTCCTCTATGGGAGTGGATAACATTGCCAAACCTCTGGCACTTGTCACACTTTTTTACATACTCTACAGTATCCATCCTCATGGTAGGCCAGTAATATCCGTACCTTATCAGTTTAAAGGCTAATGCCCGAGCTCCTTGATGATTCCCGCATACTCCTTCATGAACTTCTTCAAGGGCTTGGGAGGATTCCGAAGGCTTAAGGCACCTCAGATACGGAAGTGAGAGGCTTCTGCGAGATAAGACCCCATTAATAATGCAATACCTTGGAGCTCTTAACTGGATGTTCCTTGCTGCTCGAGGATCTTCTGGAAGATTGTGATTTGTTATGAAATCCACAATTGGGTCCATCCATGACGGCTCATGATCAATGTCCATGACCCCAATGGTTGTATTGATGCTAGGTTCGGTCACAAATCTGACATGTATTGTCCTGTCAAGTCCATCTACTCCCATGAACACCAGCCTTGATAAGGCATCTGCCTTGTAGTTGTCAGCCCAGGCAATCTTCGCAATTTCACAACTCTTCAATTTTCGTCGAAGATCATGAACTTTCAAGCAGTATAAGTCCATTTTTTCGTCTTTCTTCTCGAATGTTCCGTCAATCTACCCAACCACTAGCTGGGAATCACTAAAAATTTTGATGTTTTCAAGTTCAAGATTAATGGCAAGTTCCATCACTATAATGACAGCCTCGTACTCGGCTTCATTATTGGTTGCCTCGAATTCAAACCTAAGTGCACATTGAATGTCTATGAGCATGTCCGAGCTCGTTATGATGACCCCTGCACTCGAGCCCGAGGAGTTTGATACTCCATCCACGAAAATTTGCCAAACATCTGTCGTAGTGCTCGAGCTCTCATCTGGACCCCGAGGCCTTGGGGTGAGTTCTGCAATAAAATCCGCTAGGGCTTGGGCTTTGATGAATGGACGGGATTTGAACTCTATGTCAAACTCTCCTAGTTCAATTGCCCACTTTAGTAACCTACCTGAGACGTCTGGCTTTTGAAGGATGTGTTTCAGAGGCTGATTGGTGAACACCACAATGAGATGAGACTGAAAATATTGTCGAAGCTTTCGTGCTGCCACTATTAGGGCGAGGGCAAGTTGCTCGGCCAAAGTGTACCTAGTCTCTGCATCAAGTAGAACTTTACTTACATAATAAATGGGATGCTGGGCTCTATTGACCTCTTTCACCAAAACGTCGCTCACTGTATTGTGAGACACGACTAAGTACAACAACAAAGTATCCCCAGAATCAAGTTTAATGAGGATAGGGGGAGACGCCAATGTCTATTTGAGCTCCTGAAAAGCCTTCTCACACTCCTCGTTCCACTCAAAGGATTGGCTGCCTCTAAGAACTTTGAAGAAAGGGAAGCACTAGTCTGCTGCTTGAGACATAAACCTGTTCAGGGCTACTACCCTACCTGTTAATTTTTGGACTTCTTTCTTAGTCCTGGTCAATTCCATTGCTGCCAAGGCCTGGATCTTATCGAGGTTTGCTTCTATCCCTCGGTGAGTGATCATGAAGTCCAAAAATTTTCCCAATGCTACACCGAACACACACTTCTCTGGGTTGAGCTTCATCCTATATTTTCGTAGGGTGGCGAACACCTCCTCCAGGTCGGATATGTGCTGCTCTACCTTCTTACTCTTTACAACCATGTCGTTAACATAGGCCTCGATGTTCTTCCCTATCAAATTGGCGAAGACCATGTTGATGAACCTCTGATATGTTGCCCCTAGCATTTTTCAACTCAAAAGGCATCACCCTATAGCAGTATATGGCAGAATCAGCCATGAATGAAGTCTTCTCTTGGTCTTCCTCGGCCATGAGGATTTGATGATACCCTGAGAATGCATCTAAGAAGATGTACAACTTATGTCCGAATGTGCTATCCACAAGATTGTCAATCCTGGGTAGCAGGTAGTTGTCTTTAGGGCACGCCTTATTGAGATCTGTAAAGTTGATGCAGACCCTCCATTTACCACTGGCCTTCTTCACAAGAACAATATTAGCGAGTCAATCGGGGTATTAGACTTCCCTTATGAACCCCACTCTCACCAGTTTGCTGACCTCTTCCTAAATGACCACACGTCTTTCCGGCGCAAACTGCATCTTCCTTTGTTTAACAGGTTTGGCCCCTAGACTTACATTGAGTCTATGGACTGCTATTTCAGGGTCTATCCCTGGCATATCCTCGACCTTCCATGCAAAAACATCGATGTTGCGGGACAAACAATTGACGAGTTCCTCCCGGAGACTGGCCTTGAGACCCCGACCAATAGTTATCGTTTTTCCATGCTCGAGCTCAACCACTTCCAATTCCTCAACCGGGGCAAGTCTACCCCTTGGTTCGAGCTCGACCTCGAGCTCGAGGTCTGAAAGTTGCATGACATCTGTACTCATACCTCGAATGCTAGTAATATAGCACTGTCTAGCAGCTGTTTGGTCTCCTCGAACTACTCCGATGCCATGGCCTATTAGGAACTTCATGGCTAGGTGGAAAGTTGATACAATGGCTTGGATCTTGTTCAGTAGGGGTCTTTCGAAAATGATGTTGTAAGCTATATGAGTGTTAACCACTTGGAAGGGTGTGATCTTTGTGCATTACCAGAACCCAATGTAAGCGGAAGCCCGATGATGCCCTCCGGAATAATGACTCTACCACCAAATCCAAGTAGAGGAGTTTTTACTGCTTTGAACTGTTTGAGAGAGAGCCCCATTTTAGCGAAAGCCTCCTGTGAGAGTATATTTGTTGCACTCCCATTATCAACCAGAATCCTCTTTACTTCAAAGTTAGCCACAATTACAAAGACGACCAAGGCATCGTCATGAGGATATGATACTCCTTCCAAATCTCTTGCTCCAAAGGTAATGTCTTTGAGTGTATCATGAGATTCCTTTGAGGTATGAGCATGTTGGCGAGCATATTGCTTTCGCCCACTATTTGTGTCTCTTCCAGATGCTATGCCTCCAATGATAATATTAATGGTCCCGGCAGTGGGTTGAGCATTGCTTCTGGTCATTTATCGAGCGTTTATCATGACCAATGTAATTCCTTAAAAGTCCTCTTTTAATGAGGGCTTCAATTTCCCACTGCAAGGCTTGACAATCCTCCGTGGTATGCCCATGATCTCGATGAAATTCACAATACTTGCTCGTATCTCTTGTGTCAGGAGGCGACTTCATTCTTGAAGGCCACTTCAATTCTTTCATATCTTTGATCTCCATTAAGATATTTGCCTTGGAGGTGTTTAATCGGGTAAGAGGCCCTGGTGGACCTTCATTCTTGTGCTTTTCCCGAGGATACTCTGGCCGGGGAACGGGATCATGTTGCTTCTTGTTCTCGACCTTTTCATGGGAAGGACCAGATCTCCTTGGATTCAGTGTTTTCTCCATATTAATGTATTTTTCAGCTCGGGTAAGGAGCTCGGTCACTGTCTGCGGAGGGGTATTTGATAAGGACATCTTGAAAGCTTAACATCTTATGGCATAAGTGTTGGCGGAGACAGCCGCTGTGATGAGAAGGTCGGGTATTTGAAACATTTCTTTGTTAAACCACGTTATAAATCCTCGTAGGGTTTCATTTGGTCCCTGGAAAAGTTGCATGAGAGAGGTCGCAGTCTTTCTGATTCCCTTGCCACTTGCAAAGAAGGCTGAGAACTTATCAGCCAAATCTGAGAATGAGGCTATGGAGTTGGGCTCAACTAATCCCTAGCAGCATTAGTCAGCGTTTGCAGGAAGGCTTTGCACATAACCTGATCCAACGCAACTTGCAAATTCATGACATCAGTATATACATTGAGATAGTTGATTGGGTCGGTCGTCCCATGCGAGGATATTTGAATATGTCGGGTAGGGAATATGACAATATTTCCAGCGTGAATGGAGTGTTAGGGGTAAAACCCGTTGGCCCCCGAACATTTCGTTGCAGGCCAGCTGTAATTCTTTTTTGAATGATCTCGACAATCTCACCGAAATCCATGGCGACCGATCTCGAGCCCAAGGCCATATTGCTAATACCCGAGGTTCCTACTCCGCCAGTTGTGGGGTTCGGTGGTCAGGCTCGAGCATCAACCATAAAACCACCATGCTTTGCCTGCGCTGGTGATGGATGCGAATTTCTTTGACTTAACAGTTGCGTGAGCGTGGCCACCTGCTGACGGAGCTCTTCAAAGGCTTTGATTATGACGACCGCCGGCTGGGGTGCGGACACTCCTAACGACTCTTCTTGAGGAGCCGGTTGATCTTCAGCAGGATGAGGGATGGGAACGGATGAGCTTGTAGGAGGAAGTCCTGATCGCGTGTTAACCATGGCTTTTGGTAGCACTTCCCACAGACGGCGCCAATGATGCTACCAAAAATCGTACCTGTTAATTTTTCGAGCTTGAGGCTTTGAATGAGCACGATCGTGGTCTTTTGGTTCCTAAAACAAAGGCAACGAGGTGTGTTCTCGTCGCTCCTCCGATGCTTAAGTCAGAAAAGGAATTATATGCGTGAGGCTATCAGTTGGAGAATAATGAAAACGTACCTGAATAATGACCCATGGTTCTGTATTTATAGTAGTGGGTGACATTCTTCTAGTAGGACTCAACTATCTGGGAATCCTTATCCGATAGAGTCCCATGAGAAAGCAACGTTTGAATCCTACTGTGATTAGAAGACCAATTATTAAGAGGACTCTCTTGGATTTAGGAGATGTGGTTTGAAGTATTTCTGTCAGATAAAAGTTCTTAGGGGATAGACCTTCTCCTTAGTATGAGGAAGATGGTAGTTAAGGACCTCAAGGGATTTTCCCGAGGACATCCATGTATTCTGTGATAGTTAGTTAAACCATCAAGGTCGAGCACAGGATGTCCCGAGGACTTAGTTGAATCCCGAGCACTAATGACCGGGTAACGTAAAAGAAGGTTAGCCGTAGTCATCGGGATAATATCGTGCTCGGGTTATGCAGGGAATGTCAATATCAGTCCCCATTTTTTAAATCCATTTTTCATTGAACTAAAATTTTTAACCATACATTTCATGCCCAATTGAGTGAAATTATTGAGTTTGGTCCAGTTATTTTGAAATCTAATGGTGTTCTTCTGTAGCGATTTAAGGGGTTGGTTTACTTTTAAGCATGCTTCGTTTGTTTTGCTTTTTATTTTTTTTGGACACACTTGACATGATATTAGAACCATGTTTAGATATATTTTTGGTTGGTATTAATCCAGATATGAATGGTCAAGTAGAGTTTGGAGCATTCCAAAAACTTGGAAATCCAATGACGAGAAGATAGGTAGTAATAGTAGGGCTGGACAAATCTCCCGAACCGAACCGACTTAACCAAACCCAAACCGAACTGAACTGAACCCGACGGTTCTTGTCAAATTAAATACCCGAACAGGTATCTGAATTGAGAACCGACGGGTACGGTTCGGTTCTCGATTTTAGACCAAGAATCGAAAAATCAAATAAAAATCGAATCTTTCTAATTTTTTTTTATATTGAGTAAATCAAATTATTTTAATTTTAATTTTTTCTAAACAAATTAACAATTTCTAAGTCCAAATTTTTGGCTCAATAATTTGTTTTATTTCTAATTTTTTAATTTTTGACACAATTGCCCATTTTATTGTTTCATTTCTAAGCCCAACAAAATCCAATTCACTAAATAACCCTAAACACCTACACTAAAGTGCATAACGTTGTCTCGATTCTTGCATTCACTCTCGTAGCCTCGCTAATATTTCAAAACTTATACAATCATCGGTCGACACTGTGACCTCCGATCGAAATTGTGACCTCCACCGACTGAAACTTTGACTGTAGCGATCATTTGAACAAGGTAGTCTACTAGTCTCTGACATTCTAAAACTATTGAATGTATCATTAGTTGTATTTGTATAATGTTATTATAAATGTTAAAAAATTTAATTATAGTACAGAACCGAACCGAACCGAATGGAACCGAACCTGAACGGTTCTATAATTATATTTGAACCCGACAATTCCATTTACTAGATATCCGAAAATTTTGGTTCCGTTCGATTCTCTTTAGAATCGAACCGAACCGAACCGACCCGCGCCCACCCCTAAGTAATAGGGATCCACGAGTTTTATTAAATTTTCAATAACATTTCATCAATTTATCTAAACCAAAGAGGGTGATAAGAGCCAATGTTGACGTTTCTTTTTTTTAATAAACTCTTAAGCCAAGCAAAACTCGAGCGGTTGGGCCCTTGTGCTTGCGTGAAAGTAGAAATTCCAATAAGGCCAACTCGAAATTTGTGTTTTCACTTTCATTAAATTATTTTTGAGCATTATTTCTTTTTATATACTTTTTAATATACCCGATTTAACTTACAAAACCCTAGCTTTGTCCAAAAAAGTTTTAAAATACCTCCTCCTTTTATCAATAATATAATATTCTGCCAAATTTGCCACCTGTCTTCAGTGTTCGGAGTACAAACGAACAGCAAGTGAAAAAGGTCCAATTATTTTTGTCTTGGGTCTGAATAACCCTCTCCATTGCTCATTTCTTCACTCTACCTTCATTTTCTCCTATTTTTATTACTTTATTGTGCATTCCGGCTAAAAGTGTGACGGCGTAGGTTGGGCTATGTGCTCAAGGCGAGCCTTGCAGTATGGACTACATGTTCGTGTTGTATCATGTCAGGTCACTTGTGCCTAAGCCCAAGCTGGCCAAGCACAATCTATGATTTTGGCAGGCACCTTTTTTTTTTTTTTTTTTCCAATTATTATAGTTAGATGTTGCTTGTGAAAAATTTAAAATGGGCTCAGGGGTCGTGAGCTTTTAAAGTCGAGCCCGGCATGGGTCCGCCCACATGACATGTAACTCGAAGCATGCTACTTGTATACCATCATGGAAAAACACAAAGAATCCAAACTCGACTAAAAATGCAGATTGAATGAGCTAACTTAAACCGCGAAAGCATTTTTTTTCTTTTTTTGCTCATTTTCTCCCCTTCGATTCAAACAGTGTTGTACTAAATTAGGGTTGCCTCATGTTCAAAACTTTCCAAACAAGAATAAATTTTGTTAAAAAAAATTAGACAGTATAATAAACAAAATTTTAATGCTTTTTAATGGAATACTGTCCATGACCATTCAATTCTACTTCCCAAACATGGACTAGTAGTATATGCCTGCACTGGATTGTGGTGTGGTGGGGTGGGGTTGGGGGTAAGGAAGAAAAATGGGTAGATTTTTCAATTTTACCTAATTGGTGATTACAAAACATTGAACATAACTCTTCTTTTTCTATGTGAATAGGCTATTATCATTTTCCCTGCAAGCCAACCTCATGCCAGACCAAGACTTTTTAAACTTTATCGTCTAATTTTTCATTTACTAAAGGAATCAACTCCATCTTACCCCTAGGAGTTCGAGGTGATAAAGGCGTTCCTGGTGATTGTTGCGAGAGCTTGTGCCTCACGTAGCCGTAGAATGTACAGCCAACGAGCGTTATAGCACATCCAATAGCATTCAAATAGGATATTGGGTTTCGAAAGATCAGCCATGAACATGTAACAGCAACAGCAACCTGAAATAAGATAAATCAATAAGCTTCAAATTAACAGCATGACTTAGTTTATGGAGAACCCGGTTTTGACAGAAAGGTTTTGAAAACACATTGCACCCACGTAAATGAGAAACGAGATGTATACAGATGTTAAAAGAGCGGAAACATATAAAAGGTTTTTCATTGACATTTTTCATTTCCAATATACAAGATGATCCGGCTATTGAAAATTAACAAAAGTTAAGAGTGTTAGAAGTGCTTATTCACGAAAATCAATTCAATTTCAACAGATTAGTAGATAAAAATCTTCCCCCATCTTGTTTTCTTTGATGTCTGTAACCTTAGCTAAAACATAATTCATCTACACTTTCTCTATTTCCAATAGAAACAGCAAATAGGCGCTCACCTTAAGATTTCCTGCAACATTAAAGGTGACAGCAGTTGTAGAGTGAATGACGTAAAAGATGGAGAAGTTCAAGCAAAATGCTAAGACCCCAGACCCGAAAATAATGATAAGGGACGAAAACAGGGAGGGGCATGTGTGAAACCATTCGATTACTCCCGATCCTTCCAATAGCAAGGCTGGCACCGCCAAGATCATAGTCGCAAAAGGTGCCATATAATAGACTGTATTTATGCTGCAGTAAGCATGGAAAAAGATGCCATAATCATTAGTCATTATAAAAATAAGAAATCCTCACCTAAGTCATAAAGAAACTACAATGACATGTTCGGCAAAGAGGATCTCAGGAGCATCAAAGAAGAAAATGCAGCTATATTAAATGAACCTCCTAAACAACAATCTATAATACAATCTTCTTTACCATTTTGTTGAATAAACAGTGTTAAAAACATTAATTAATCCCCATAAAGTAACAAAAAATTAAGAACTCCTGAAAGTTAGTGTTGACGCATGGTGATTAAATGACATGGATTAGACTTAAATTAATAGATGAAACTCGAAGATCATTAGTCCACCAAACTAAAGCACCACCAAGAAACTCTTCAAACATAAATTGTTTTTTATTTTAGAGGGTCAATGCTTAAAAATAAGCTCCAAGAGTCTCTATTCTAACTTTTTAAAATAAAGAATGGATTTGGCTCTATCTCGATTCTTATTTTATAATGAATGCATTTAATAAACTACAGATTTCAATACTCTATTTCTTAAATTATTCAAATCATATTTAAATCGATTGGTCATTGACATATAAAAAAAAATATATGTTAAATAAAAGATGAAGAGAAATCAATAAATGTTTACTTAGAAAAAAAAATGAATAGCCTAAATAGAGAGCATCATTAAAGTGTATAAAAAATTTTACTCTCCAAATTTTAGATACTTCATATTATTCATAATATGCTATTTATAAACAGATGACTCTTGGAGATGCTCTTAAAATGATCAACAAGATTGTGCTAAAAGTTTTTGATGTGTTCTTTGTTACGAAGATTTAATTTTTCCAAAGAAGATATCAATATTTTATTATGTATTCCATTATAAAGATTAAGTTCGCAAATTAGTTCTGAAGAAATGGCATGAGACCGTGTGCCGGTAAATTTTACAAGAACAAAACTAAGCTGGAATCAACTGTTCTGTGGGAAGCCAACTAGAAAGCATTAACTAGATTCAGAAAACACCGACGTAACAAAATAAACATACATTCAAAATTTTCAGCAATCTATGAATAACTAGACACGATTAATCATTCCAGACAAAACTACCCATTTGTTAATCCCCCTTGTTGGGCAGAAGTTTACATGTGGGATGTGTGGGGAAGAAGGGATTATACCTGTCAAATTTGTACCCATGTAATAGAGACTCGGCAAGGATTGTCTTTGTAGAAGTAGCAAGGCAGCCGAATAAAGCAGCACAAAAGCCAAACATATTAAAACTGAGCTCGGTGATTGATGTTAGTAGAATCCCTCCAACAATGGGAATTAAAGAAGCCCAAATTCGGGAATCAAAGTACTTTCCCCAAACTAGCCACTGCAAGAAAACTGTTTCAAAAGCATCATAATCAGGTGCGGCATCTTTTCAAGATGCAATTTACACACCAAAAAAAAGTCTAAATCTGTGTTCAGATCTGAATCTTCGTTTTCTAGCTACTGATTACAAAAGCTTCTAACACTCAGGATATACTTTACTCAAAACTCACCTGTTGTAGCCGGTGTGAACGACTTTATAGTTTGCATAAAAGAAACAGGAATATAACGCAGGCTAACGTTCCCCAGAACTATGTTGATACAAAAAACAAACGACATGGGAAAGATCCTCCTCCAATGATCTTCAGGGTTGACTGGAATAAGTGGCTTAAGTTTCAGCACTTTAATTACTAGGTATGCGCCAATTGCTGAGCATATGAAGTGTATACATGACACAGATAAAGGAAACTTGAAATCCAGTTTCTGTTAAGAAGGAAAAAGGAGACACTTCATAAGCAATGATGATTATCACAAGGCAAGACAATCAATGCATAAGAATATTGAAAATATTATTGACTAGAATTTTCGATAATTTATCAAAGATAGTAACTAAATTTTGAGAACAAATAAGAACACTTAAAAAAAAGCATCATACAAGCATATGGTTGGAATGATCACCTAAGTTAAAATTCAGTTAATAATAGTAAGCAGATAGGAAAAAAAAAAAATTCATATGACCACAATACACTTACAATGAAATATATTGGTCTAAGAAAATGCTGAACACGTGAATAAAGAAAATTCGCTCATCTCTATCAGCTCATGCCATATTCAGAAAAAATATTGTTTCAAAAGAACTTCCTCATATTCCCATCATGTGAACTCAACCGGATCACTTTTCAAGTGCATTAATGAGTCCTCGCCACATGAGCGCGGCAAGAAAAAATAGAAGTGTCTATAGATTTAGTTTCAAGCATCAAACAAAAAGATTAACAATGAAAGAATAAAGACTATTAATCACAATTAAGATTACTAAATTTTTTGACTAGAGATCCGAAAATTTACAGGCTTCTCCTCCATTTGAAAATAGAGAAATCACGCTCCCAACGAGAGCCCATTCGTTGAATTGTGTACATACCTGTAAAGAAACCAATACTAATTGCCAACAAGTGGTATACTTAATCGAATTCTAACAATGGTTTAACATCAACATCCCATAATTCGAATTTCTAGGAATTTCCGAAACGGTAATCACAGCTAAAGAACCTTAATTCAACCTAAAAACTAATAAAATGCAATTTACTATTTTTTTCAAAATAACCATAAAGATCAAATGAAAAAACAACTCACAGGAAATTTATCAACATTAGAAACAAAAAAATAATAAAAAATTGAACACTAACAAACACACACACACACACACACAATTACACAACTACATCAGTTTTTCTTAATGTTTATGGTTATATACAGACCTGAAAAATCCATTTGTTCATGATAATAACAGTAACGTTGAAACCCCACCATTGAACGATGGCTAATATAGATCTAATTACGCTCCAGTGACACAATCCACTCTCCTCCATCATTCAATCACCAACCCAGATCAAATTTCACTACAATCGGACAATTTTTTTCCCAAGAGAAAGATTTAACAAGAAATGAAGAACCCACTAATTTTTTGCCCAATTAATGTGTATAAATCATAAGAGAAGCAAAAACTTGAGGAGGGGGAGGTGTAACGGTGGAGAGGGTGCTATAAGTTTCTTCTTGGGGCGTTTTTCTTGGGAGAAAATTGGCTGTTTTGTTAATTATTTTTGTTACTTGATTTCTGAAACGTTTCTTTGTTTGAATTCTCAACGTCTGTAGGACCTTCACGCCTTTGGACCTCTCTTTGTTGGTAAAACACCAAAACCCTACCCCACACACAGGATAATTTAGGTTTCGCTTTGTTCTAATTTTCCAAAAAACGGAATTACAAGCACGATATGTTATCGATTTGAGTCAAGCTAAATCAGTTGAACCGTCTTTATTGAAACAGATAGGATAAGTACTTTTTCATGTTTCATGTTGAACCGTCTAAGTTTGCATTGTTCATATCTTAGTCAAGCTAAATTGCAATGGATTGAAATATCCAAATATTTAATATCGTGTCATATTGGCCTAACCAAAATACGAAGATTCGACAAATTTGATTTTCCATTTTTTTTCGAAAAATTATGAAAACAACGAGATCAAGATTAGCTTAGGTTTGACTCTACTCTTTCTAATCAAACTTGTTTTAAACCAAATAAATATGTATAAGCACATATAAAATTTAATAATAAATATATTTCGTTTATAATTTCAGTAAAACTATCTGAATATTATATGTAATTATCGAAAAATTTGATAGCATTGTAAAATGAGATATAATAAATGACTATTTGGTCTAATATAGATATTTACATACTATTCCAATTGTAACTTTCATAAAAACTCTATGTATAATCGACTGAATAGATACTCCTCCATTTTAGGATAATTTACCTTAGAATGGCAAGAGCTTACGTAATTACTTTCCTACGGAAAAAACCATTAAAACTAATATGACAAAGTTGTTTTTAATGAAAATAATAAAAGATCCATTTCGAATGATTTGTTTCAATAAATTAAGGTAGTTTAAGAAATTGTTTGGCGAACTAAAGTTGCTACAAGGGTCCAAATATCATCATATATTAAGTCCATTGTTTATAAACTTGAAAATAATTGAGTTCTGTTCTTTTTTTATACAATTGTACAGATAATTTGAATTTTTTTCATTTTCTACACATTTTTCCATATATCTTTGTTGAGATAAAATCACTAATTAAGTTTACACATTAAATTGTAAAGTTGTGGAGATCATATCCAAATTTTTTTGAGTCGAGGTAAATTCTTTAAAACATTTGCAGAATCTCTTTTCTTTCATATTTAAGTTTTTAAATAAGATAATTAAACGTAGTATTACAATCTATTATTTTATGAAGGTTCAATATCTTGGACTTTTGATGCTATAACAGTGTGAAATAGAATTAGAAATTTTTTAATAAAATAATATTCTTGGAATATCCTTTTGCCAAGGGTAATTCCAACTCCATACTTATGCCATGTGTACAATTATACAAGAAATTATTAATTACTCATTGATATTGGATTAAGAGTCAAAACAATATTTAATTGGAATGAAATAATATTATTTTTTTAAGGAAATTTGGAGGATATAAAAGGAAGATTATATAGTGAATACACCCCTGGAATCCTGGTTCCATAAGACAAAGCCATTTTCTAGAAATGAAAATGGGTGAAATAGTATTTTTTTTAATAAAAAAAATAAATGGTTGAAAAATTTTGAGTTTACAAGTAAAATTTTTATGAGAGAATGTGCGGTTAAAATGAATTTTTTAACAAATGGAGCTCAAACATAGCTAAGTGAAGTCCTTGTGCATATGAGACAATTAAAGTGTCAAACTGGTTTGACTGTGGCACAAACACATGTTCCCCAAACGAGTTGAGTTGCTCAACGCTTATTGACATGGACGGACCCATGTGGGGTCATGTGAGATCAAATGACCCTATAAGAATTTCTGATTTTTTTTTTTTTAATAAATCTGTATATTATCCAAATCTTATATAATGCCAAGCCCATATACGGCTCCTTCACTCGCCCAAGGCCTTACTTTTCATTTGGATTTTAACGTAAACCGCGCAGAGAGAGAGAGAGAGGAATCGACATCATTGTTTGCAGTGGAGAGTTGGAGACCGCCATTCATATTTTCAGATTTTTTCGCTTGTGCTAAACTACTAATTTTGTGATTTTTTTCAGTCCAAGTAACAAATCGACAACTTATTTGCTTGATTTTAAAAAATTGAATTAACCAAAGAGAGTTCATTGATTTGGGAAACAAACCAGTCCTTTGCCGAACGGTATTGGTACATAATTCTATATGCTCAAATCAACCCCACATATACAAATGAAGGATAAAAAAATGAATGAGAAGCAAAAGAAATGGCATTGATGATTTTGATAGTTACGATATGTTCCATGCACCATTAATTGTTATTAGGATTTATGCTCATTGTTAATCCTTCATGGTTCTCTTTATTTTGGAAATTAATTGACACATATGTTGTACAGAGAGTCATTAAAATTTAAAATGTTTAAATGTCGTTTAAAAAATAAAATTATATTTTAATATTTGACCTCACAATACTAAACGTCTGACTCCGTCCCTACTTATTAATACATTTAATATGATTAAAATTGAACTCGAAATAATGGTTTGCACATCGATTTAAAACTATAGCTGGAAGTATGAGTGAGCAGAATAAATTCAACGAAAGGAAAGAAAAGTGACCAAGAAAGTGAACATTTAGCAAACTTCAAGTTCATATAATTATGAGATTCATTTTAGGGATTTTAATCTGCTAAGAAAGCAACAAGGTGTTATGATCTCCACATTATGCTAAAAAAATTTCCGCTAGTGACTCAAGGCTCCATCAAAGAATTGAAAACCCAAAATCCTTCAATATTAGGTATCAAGCTAAATGAACTCCCCTAGCAATAGGGTCATATTGCGGAAGTCATAGAAGCAATGATCGACATTATTAGCAGTTGAGATCTCTGCAAGTTATGGATAGACATTGCAATCGTTAGAAAAAACATTGAAGTTGTATTGTTAGTTACATTGTGAGTCTCATGACTCCTACCATATTATCGAATGTCATCATTGTGATCTTCGATGAGTTGTTTAACAAAAAACAATATGTCTTACTCATTCTATGTCGCATAAATGTGACAAGTGCATATTACTTGAGTTTTTGTGAAAAAGAATGCAATTCTAACTAATGCCATCTCGTAGAATTGTTATAACTTCATGCGATGATTGTTTGTAGACGTAAATGGTTGCCAAATGTGATTGTTATGACATTTGACGAAACGTTTAACAGCATACAATTATAGTTCATATGACTTGCATCCCTTCCATGGAGAGTGCTACGGCAAGAGGCGCAGGGACAGGGTTATTTGCGAGGTGGCACCACCTCTGTCCCCTGTCAACTAACCCTGCCAACTCCCCTATTCGTTTAGCAAAATTCCCTTCTTTGTTGCACAATTATGACCATGAATTTGTGACCTTCCATTCATACAAATATAAAAATAATTGTTATTGTTCTTTGTATATTGCAATTAAAAAAAAAAAAAGAAAAAAGAAAGAGAAAACATATCTTTAAATTACCATAATTATAGGAACAATATCAGAAATGTTAAAAAAAAAAATTATAAACAAAAATGTAAAAATTAAATAAAATAGAATTAATCAAATTTCTTGACATCTTATATAATCTCCTTTAATGAATCATGTTATTTGTCAAAGTAAAAGTTAACTATTCGATTGGTTTAAATTTTTTAATTTATTACTTATTGTATTGAGCCCATCTAGAAATGGATTAGAATACAAAAAGTAGCAATTACATTCACATAGGTATTTAACATTTTCAATTCAAAAATCAAGTTTAGGTTTTATTTATTCAAAAATCAAATTATAGTTCTATATTTTAATATTATTAAAAATAATATAAATTAATTTATATACTCACACTGCCAGACCCTATCCACACCATCCAAATCATAAATCATTTTCTCGCATCTTCCTCCCCATTCTCTCTATCTTCATTTCCCTCTCACGTCTGTCTCTATCTCTCTGTTAGACCACGTCGTTGTCAGAGCGCCAATCGTCGGAGACCACCTCTAAGCGTCGTTGCTGCAGCGGTGCTGTGAAGAGAAGTTGTGCATCGTCAGTGCAGCGATCCCTATGCAGCCACATAATTACTATTTGTTGTAGCGATGCTGTGAAGAGAAAGTCTCGCACATCGTCATCCTCGCACATCGTCATCATGCTATCGCAGTGTTGATGAGAACAAAAAGCCACGTGCAACGATGTGATCACTGCTTGCATACGACTCTGCATGATACCGCTATAGTGATGCTCAAGTCGCGACTACAGTAGTGATCATCGATAATGGTGTTGGTTTTTTTGGTAGCTGGAGTGGTGGTGATTGAGGTGGCAATAGATGTGGTGGTGGTGTAGATGTAGTGCTAGTTTTGGTGTTCTTGTCGTGGTGGTGGTCACAAATGACTAAGGTGGCGCTGGCGATGATGTGGTGCGGAATTGTGTTTGGGTTGTGTTGGATTGTTGTAATCAATTTTTTCAGTGATTGCGACTAATAAAGTAGTTAATTTTTTATCATAAATAATGTGATTGATAAATAATTCGCGACCATTATTTTGTGATTGTGACCAATAAAATGGATAAGCTGTGATCAATTAATTTAAAATTTTGTGACTGTAAAATAAGTTGTAACTTGTAAAATTTGTAATTTGTGATCGAGAAATAGTATGCAATCAATTAATTTGATAATTTGCGATTGTAAAATAAGTTGTGACCTGTAAAGTTTGTGAATCGTGTTTTAGAAAATAATACACGATCTTTTATTTTGATAAGTTGTGATTAGGGCTAGGCGCCAAAACCCGTATCTCAAAAAAATCAAACCCCATCCGACTTGATTTGAGTCGATTTCGGTCGGGTTTCACAATTTTCGAGTTAGGTCAGTGCATAAAAATTGATTTTAGTCGATTTACGGGTTGAATCGAACAACTAATCTAAACCGAATTAAAACCAAAAACCCTAATTTTGAAATCATATACAATGAATATGTTTCCTCTCTATCGACAATGGCGTCCACCGTCTCTTCACTCCCTATTTTTAAGCTGGTTAAGTGGCTTTATTCAATTATTAGTGGGTTTTAGGAAGTGGGTGGAATGCATTGGGGCGATTGATTTTGGGATGTCACGTTTTGAGTTGTTTGACTGAAACGAATGAATTTCAATAACAGTTGTCTACCACTATACATATTTTAATTCGTTTGGACTTCCTTAGAAAAACATATATCCAACCAAACAAGCACTAAATCACTCTACTTGAATTGACTCGGGTTGGATCGATTTATGCCACCAATCGCATCGGTTCGGTTTCACAACGGCCCAAAACTCAACAAGAAGGATGGGTTAGTATCGATAAATATAATTATAACCTTCAAATTTGTAATTGGTGATTGAGAAATAATACGCGACTAATTCATTTGATAATTGTGATAGAGAATTAAGTCGTGATTTATAAATTTTGTAATAGTGACCATTAATTGTATAATATCGTGATCTTAATATATTTAGTTAATAAAATATTTTTAATTAATTATTTCATTAATAAATCTTATTTAAGACCTGATTATTGAAACTTGAAAATAAATTTCTTAATTTTAAAATTGTGTATTATAACTACTTAAAATATGATTTTTTCCCATAGGAAAAAAATCTCGTAAAGCCAAATTAAAAAGGCACTTACAACGATAACCCGTGACTGTTCATATAGCAAAGGGGAACAAGGGGCTAAGGGTTTCTTCCTCCGAGTTACACTGAAAATTTGGGGAGAGGCAAAAGGGAGATATATTCATAACCCCATTGGCACCGATTTATCTTATGTTGCTGTGATTTCCACCCAGCTTCTTCATCAACACAATTAGAAGGTAGTATCTGATTTTATTAGTGTAAAACGGGATTTATAGGGTGAAAACGCACTCGACCCGATTGTTGTGAATGATTTATTTTCAACTCAACTCATTATATTAATTTATTTTTCCAAACTTTTTGGTTCTTGATGGTAATCTTGGTCTGCAACGGTGGTTTTTTCGACCACATTTCTCTTGATTTTTTCATGCCGTTGTTTATGGTTTTTCCTTGCCTTAAAGACTGGCGCCCCTCAAGTGTAATAGGTGAAATACCCGGACTAAAATCCAGTGGGGGCCCAGGTTTCTCCGCCCCTGCTTCGGGGTCCGTTCTCTTAACTGATAGATGGACCCGAAGATGAGGTATGAAGGAAATGTCATTCTACATGGGAATATTTGAAGTCTTTTTCGAAGAAATTAGAAAATCTTGAATGGTTTTGGTGACCCTAATATTATCCAAGTATGTGAGGGTGTAGGACCAAGTGCCGTGGTGTTGCTAAATCGCAAGTGTACAATACTGCTTGTAAGTATTAAGATGGACCTAAGGAGTCTGAATTGTCATTTCCATGATGGTTAATTGAAAATCCAATTAAATTAACTCTAAACTATTAGCAACTTAAGCATAATAACCTAAACTAATAATAATGGAACAAATCGTCAACACTGTAGAAATCAACTAATTAAATAGTCCTGATTTCATTAATTACACCTAATCTGTTCAATCCATATTTTGGTTCAATTATTGTGTCGTCGGTTATTAATTTAAGATAAAATATTAACTCATCCCTGTAGTACTAGTTAACCTGTCCACAAATACCAAACATTCCTTTTTGGAATAATTATTTGATAAAAGTAATGCATAAGCACATATGGCTACCACATTAACAAGTAGAACTTTCTCAATCTAACCATAAATTCGTGAGGAGGAGAATTTAAGTGTTCAAAATGAAATCTCTATATCAAACATGTAAACAAATATAGCCCCTGATTGAGTTTCATTCCTCTAAAAACTCATTTTTTATCAAATTCATTTTTAATTACAAATTCTCTCAATAAAATAATTCTGCACCAAAATTTTTTTTATTGCTTTTTAACTACGCATTCTCAAAAAAATCACTATTACAAAATATGCTCTATAAAAAATGGGGATTAAACATGGCCATAATGTGATTTAATATTCATTCTCAAATAAGAAAATGTATTAACCAAGCCAATTCAAAACATATTATAATTAAAGTAAGTCCAAATAATGAATTATAATATGAATAGAAGTCAATTAGCTAAATTATTTATCCTAACAAGTAACCTAACAAAGAAACATGATGAAGGAATGGATGGAAAAAGAATTTGCATAGACGTCCCTTGTTTATTCTAAGAACATTAAGATGGAATGAATCTCTTCAATCTTTAACTCAAAGAAGCCTGGAAATCTTACGTATTGATTTTCAGTAATTACTTGAACTCTCTCTTTGATTTCTGCCCAAGGTGATGTTTTATGGTGCTTTTGTATTACTTCTTTGATGTGGAATGAATTGTATCAATTTGGGATCTCTTTTTGTATAATCAAAGTCTCATATATATATATAGGTTTAGGGTAGAAGTCTTGAAATCCCATGCAAAAGTTCCCAATTACCCCTAAAAATATCAAATATCAAAACTAGGTAGAAGTTCTTGACAACTTATGCGCTCTAGAGAAACCCAAGAACGAGGATCTTTCGGTACACTACCGCCATGTTATAAAAGGAGAAAATGGGTATTGAAACATTTTTCTTTCGTGAGGTGAGGCATAAGCCTCGAGGCATTTTGAGGCATGGGCCTTACTGTGAACTAAATAAAGAAAAACAAATACAAAAAACAAGCATTTAATGAACTTTAAATGTTAAATTCTTGAAACTTTATAATAACTTAAAGTTCTAGGTTGATGTTACTGTCGTCACTGGAGTTATGCGCTGTCATTGGAGTGATTAAGTAATAGGGTCACAATGTTGTTTTACGTATGTTGTGTGTTTGAAATTATAATGCTTTTTTATGTATGGCATATTGTGTTTTAATCAAAAAATTAATTAGGTTTTGATAAATAATGGGTTCTAATGATAATACAAGTTTAATAATTAATGATAGCCAATTAAGTATTTTATTAAAATATAATAGATTTCCGAAGCTATTTTGATATAGTAATGAGTATATTTCCAAGGATGTTAACTAATGGAAGTATGAGAACTTAAAATAAAAGTACAAAACAAACTAAATGAATAGAAAAATAACTCGAATATATAACTTTTACAATATTTTAAGTACCTAAATAGGAGTATAAAATAATCTTATCATGTTGAAATTGGTTTAAGCTCGTGTTTTTACATTGGATCCTGTACTTGCTTTCAATATTCTTCAACCTTCATTAATGGTTGACCCTATATCATGGTCCAGGACCTTCCCTCCCATACCAAAATGGAGGTAGTGTAAATTGTTTCTTTTCTTTAGACTTTAATTAGTTATCTATCTATCTGTTTGGTTCTTGTCTTCAGCCTTACTTTTTGTTGAATTTGTAGAGGAAGCGAGGCATGAAAATTAGAACTTTTACATGTGCAATGCACAGAAAACCTTAAGTCAAAATTAGGTTGGCTGAATGGTTAAAGAACTAAAGATAATGCTGCATAAAGATTTCGAGTTACTGATGTAATACTGTTAAGTCCTTTGATGTAGGAAGATCAGGTAATTACAGCCATAAATCTCTTTCACACCACTTCGCGAAAAGTAACTGTATGGGCTGCAGTTAAGTTTTTGGAATCTGGTGCACAGCATGGACGTGGTACGGATTTTCCATTCTATGTAGCAGTCGACTATTGAAGTTTGAGATTCCAAGTGACATGGGATTATGTTTTAATTTGGATTCTTTTTTATGACAAGATCATAGCATAATGGGGAAAATATTTAAATTAGGCTTTTTCTAGGTCTGGAATGTTAGACTTTGAAATGGTAAGGAGAAAATCTGGAAACAAAATGCTCTTGGATAATATCTCTGTTGCGGTCCTGATTGTGCAAATAAAGTTGATAGGATCTGTGTCATATACTTCTTAATTTCATTCTCTTCCCTCCATCACCATCATTGTCTTGTGTGCAGGGCCCTTCTATCCATTTTTATATATTGGAGGAAAAAATTATGCCACTTTAGTTGTTTGGTCTATAAGAGAGGAGAAGTTTGGCTGAACTTTCTTGATCTATATGACTTGATATTTAAGGCAAGGCTTTAGTTAACCTGACACACTCTTGTACTTGCACCTCGTCTCCATCCATTTCCTAATATTCTTAGCGGCATCCTTTTGCTGTACTTTGCTCGCATTTGATTGTTTAGAACAATGTGTTAGTACTAAATTTTGCATTCTTCTATATCAAATGTTTTTAAAATATAGCCCTCATTTGGGCTCCATTAAAATCAAATTTTGGGGAAAAAATGTATTTTGGAATAGTGATTTTTTTAAGAATGTGTGGTTTAAAAAGAAGGAAAAGTTTTGGATTTACATATAATATTATTTTATTGAAGAACGTGTGGTTGAAAAGAAGAAAGAAAAATGCACTTTGAATAAAATGGAGCCCAAAGAGGGGCATAGTTTGCAAGAGAAAATGATTATTTAGTGACTATTCTTTGTCTAGTGAACAAATCAGCAGCTGATTGATGGATCCTGACAGCAAGAAGTTTGGAAAAGGTGAGACCTTTCAAATATTATTTTTCATGCCTCCCTGCACCATTTGTATGATATGACATGTACATTGTTACTACACTGTTGAGATATGTATCAGACCTTGTTATTATTATTTTTATTTTTTAAATTTGGATATTTGTTCCCTTTTGCAAATATTGTTGCAAAAATGCAACTGGCACAAGTTACGTTATCATTGAACAGTAGTTTATGGTGCTATCACATATCTATATACATATATCGATATGCATATACATTGTGTCCTCTTCATGGCGTTGGTCATTTTCAATAATTTCCAACAATATGTAAGCCATTCTAGTATTGAAATTGGATTTTGAATTGTAGCTACATATTATTAGATGAGCTGATAAGGTCTTGTTATTGAGAATAAAATAATCATATATTGGCGGAGTAGACTGGCTGGATCACCATTCAAGTTGAAGATATTGGCCTCACTAGGAATGCTACCGATGGAAAAGGAATTGTTCATGTAGGGGTCAATTTTGAAAATCTTCATTATGACATCACATCAGTGTGATATAATTTAGGAAACTGCAGTATTTTAGGCCATTTGCAGTGTCCTGGAATGTTTCGCTTTATTTTTTGTTGGAAGATTAATTGCATTCATTCCAAAATTATTATGATTACTTCTTGATTGAACGGCTTGGAAATCCTAGATCCATCGAATTGAGTGATGACAAGTAGAATATAGCCTCATTGGGGGGTGCTTTGAATTTATATCTGGACCTATTGATCATTTATCTGACCAAATTAATGTACTTTTTTTATTTCAGAAAAGGAAGCATGATGAGAATGGAGTTATCAATTACATTCAGTGACACAAGAAAAGTAAGTTATGAAGGGTTGCTTAGCTCTGCTTCTATCATTCTTCTGCTTATTATTTTGGCTCTTGAGATTTTTAAGCCAAACATGCTCATGTTTTTATAACTTCATTCACATCTGGATCCGTGATTATTTCTCCAAATTTTCTATTTTTGGACATGCTGATATTTGCAGCTTAAGAGCCCCATGGTTGATTAGATGTGAGTGGCAAAGATAGCTGGCTGTGAGTGGCACATTTTATTTTTCTTCAGATTTGCAGTTGAGAATTTGAGGATCTGTTACTTACTGTTGTCAAACTATGTAAGGTACATTACAAATATATCAATCAAACTATCTAAGGTACATTATGCCCCCGTTTGATCCCCATTAAATTTAATTACATTACATTCCATTTTTCTTTCTCCTATTTTCAACCACACAATCTTCCATAAAATAATATTACACGTAAATCAAAAAAATTTACTTCTTTTTCAACCACTCATTTTTCTAAAAAATACTATTCCCCCCTTTTCATTTTCAGGTAATGGGGATCAAACAGGGGCTATGTATATATCAACTGTAGCTTCTTTTATATTGCTATGTTTTATTTATAATATTCCTTTTTTTCTTTTAAATGTTTAAAAACGCTTAATCATATACTAAGGAGTTTTTCCTGTATGGAGCAACTTGTAAGCCTCAAGTTGGACTAATAAATAATCCAAAAATATATACTAATACGAAAATATGCTCATAATATACCATACACTATTAAAAAATCTATAATAAATATATTAACAAAATTAAAAGTTTAGCTTGCAAGCACAAAATAAATGAATAAACGAAAAGAAAATAGTCCAGAATGCTATGGCGAGTAATAGAATATCCAAAAAACACAAGACAAACTGGGAAGTCAACTTAGTCATCTTGAGGCTTAGCCTTGATGCATAAGCCTCACAAATGGCACTTAAAGGCTGGGATTCGAGCTGTTTTATGAAAGCCTCACTGAGGCAGGATTTGAGGCGTGAGCCCAAATGGGTTTTTTTTTTTTTTTTTTTTTTCTTTTAAAGACATTTTTTTAGATGAGGCCATGGAAACTCTTATAGGAGTTCGTACTTTTGGTGGTTGATAGAGTACCCTAATAGCTTCTTTTCAGAAACAATGTGTCAGCTTTTATCCTGGGGCATTTTTGTGAACTTAATCATATGTCAAAGGCAGAAATTTGTACTCCTGGAAATAAAAAAAGTTCTAAATACAAACTTCACATGGAGAGGGTTTATATTACGCGGTTTTATTGTAAGAAGAAAATGAATGTTATTCCTGGTGAGGTTAGATATCTCAAATATTCCTGGTGAGGTTAGATATCTCAAATATGGCTTTATTGAGTTGACCGTGGATAAAATTTGTAGTAGTAGACTTAATAACTTCTGTATTGCACCATTCTCCTACGTTGCCCATTTTTTGATCTTTTGTATTCTCTTTCTTTTGGGAGGAATTGGTGGCGGCGTTAGTGGTGAAAAGAATGTGATGTTGAACTCTGTGTTGCAGTCGATAAACATTTTGCTTGTTCTTTTATATTTAAAGTATGCAACATTGGTTTAGCTGAACTCTTTAATAACTCTTCATGGGACATTTATATTGAAGACATACCAAGAAATTAGGATTTATTTCGAGGATTTTTATTTATTTGAATTATTTCTTTTCCTCGATCATTTAGTAAAGTCTCCATTTCTCACTTGGGGACTTCAAGCATAAATTGGCTGTGGTCTTTGAAAGCACTATAGACTATTGAACTATTGAAATAAATTTTCTCGTTGCTATTTATTCATGCAGATGTCAAGAAAAGTCCCAGTTATGGAGCATAGAGTAAGTTCAAGGTAAAAATACTGAAAATGAACTTTTTTGTATCGCAACAAAGGCTATTAAAAACTTTGATCAGTCAGTTAAATGATATTTGGTATTTTGGCAATTCATATTTTTTATAAAATATTTTCATTGCTCGAATTTTTGTATTAGTTTGCAGTTTTGAATGTGTTTTAAATGATTTTTTCTGTTATGAAATTTTATGTAATTGACTTTTGTTTTGAGCTACTTATTAAGATAATATGTTATTTCTAATGCTCGTCAAATGAATAAGGAAACTGTAACTTATGAACATACAACTTTTCGTATAACTTGTGCTTTGTATTTTTATTTTATATATTTATTTTTTGTACTTGTGTTTTTGTTAACAATCACGAAATGTAATTTCTAAATTGTAATTTTCAAAACACAATATTTAGTTTATAGTTATATGGGTGTGTAAATTTTCTTTTTCGTAATAAAAATCCATTTAAACCATGACAGTAAGATAAGCTACTACGATATGCTATCAAAAGAGTCGTGAACACGCACCTTTGAACGATTGTAGAAATTAACCTATAATGTTCTTCTAATTTATGTACAAGTGTGAGGAAATGTCCCATTTCTAGTATGTGTGTATGTATGTGTGTGTGTATATATATATATATATATATATACTTATTTTTTTTTGGGAAAGAAACAAAAATTAAAAAAGTTCTGCTCGAGAGAATTCGGATTGTGACATGGACTGGTATGATCTGTAGATGGAGTTGGAACTTCG